GCCCCAGCGCCTTTCATTCCAGGGCCCCCGCCTCCCGAGCGGGGATGTGACCGCTGGTCACTGCCACCCGAGCCCTTCCTCCCGCCTCCCTCGTCCCGCCTCTCACACTCTCCTGTCCTTTCCGGCTGCGCCGGGCGCCCGGGAACCGGCCCCAACGGGAGCGGAGGGGACAGCGCGGGAACCGGGAGGGCGGGAACTGCGAGCTGCCCCGGCAAGATCGGAGGGAGAACTCCCTTCCAGCCGCTCCCGGATCCCGCCCCCGAGGACTTCTCCGAGCAGCGCTCGGGCTAAGAGAGTCCTGGGTGCGCATCCGCATCCCCATCCGCCCTCCTCCTTCCCATCCTCCCGAGCGTGGAGGTGGCCCGGGAGCCGAGTCTGCAGGTGGAGGGGCGTCTGCGCGCAAAACTTACTGTCGGCGGCCACCCCTCCGCGGGAGGCGGTCAGACTCTGGAGCCAGACGCCCAGAGCCACCAGGAGCAGCGCTTTGCTCTCCATCTGAGTTCGTTCCTCCGCAGGAACTACAGGGCACGGGCGGGGGAGGACAGACTGATGGACCCGGAGCCGGAGGCGGGATGCGGCTGGAGGAGCTTCGGTTCCGAGCGGGTCAAGTTGCCTTTCGAAGGGCAGAGCCAGGCAGCTAGAAGCGGCAGGTTTCCTCCGGGAAAGAGGAATCGAGTCTGACACTGTTTCCACTCCACGGCTGCTTAAGTGACAGGAAATATGCAAATAAACCTCATCACCTATTGGCTATAAAATCATAAGTTGGGGGGAGGGCCCAAAATTCACTTCCAAATGTTTGAGCAAACTGTGATGAAGATCAACCCTGCCAGCGAGAAGAGGGTGAAAGAGCAGAAGGGATTTGTGAATTCCCGATTGGCTTTTCCTAAGGGATCTGCTCTCCCGGGGCCCCCTGCACAGGCCCCACGCACAGGTTTCTGTGAATTTATGTTAAATACTCCACAGTCACCGGTTTTCCAAGGAGGGGAAGTTAAGCTGTTAAGCTACATTTGGTCCAAACTTAACCCCACTCCTCTTTTGATGGATCCTGTTTGTAACTCGCAGGGTTTATTTCCCAAAAAATTCTCCTGGACGATGTCAATTTAGGGAACCATAAACACACACTGTTCTGTGGCTTGTGCTCAAACAATCTGTTATTTTAATATTGGCAAAAGGTATTAGCTGATGTGGTGAAGGAAACCCCTCTTACTGTAACTACTTTCTAATTTTTCCCTCGTGCAAATTATACCCAAACTCATCAAAGAATGCAAGCATAACATTTTATCCTCAGAGGCAGAATATCAAAGTCAAAAAATCTAAAGCTACTATTGTTACGCAAAGTGAAGAAGCCAGTCACAAAAGACAGATGTTGTAAAATATCCACAAATAGGCAACTCCTCTAGACAGAAAGTAGGTTAGTGATTGCCTGGAGCTGGGGAATAGGGAAGGAGAGCATGGAGAAGTTTTGGGGGGATAGTGATGAAAATGTTTTAAGTTACATTACGGTGATGGTTGTACAACTTGGTAAATACACTAAAAAAATTGACTTGCACACTTTAAATCATTGAACTTTATGGTATGTAAATTATATCTTAATAAGGCTATTAGCAAAGATGTATTGAGATATGCAGTTAAATAATAAGAATAATGAAAAATAAATAAAAACAAAAAATTATAAGAATGAAATCACATTGGAAATTATATTTTTTTGTCAAAGTGCCCAGAATGCTATCAAATATCTTTTGAAGTGTAAAGGACTTGCATTAGCCAGAAAGGAAAATTACCTCCACTCTCCACTTTATATCTGAGAAATAGTCTCAAAAATCAAAACCTCTAATTCACTATCTTATATTGGATTTTCTCTCTCTTTCTCTCTCTCTCTCTCTCTCTCTCTCTCTCTCTCTCTCTCTCTCTCACACACACACACACACACACACACACACACACACACACACACAATCTACGTTTGTATGTTAAGAGGATAAAAGGCCATATTATTTAAACTAGGCTCAGATTTAAAGTTTATCTCAAAAATGAAATACACCTGATACTACCCAAATTATTCAAAGTGTGCTATCCTGAAGACTAGGTTTCTATTTTTAAGTTGATACATTAAGTGGCACAACACAATATATTGTCTTGTATTGAGATTATTAAACAATATATTGTACGCATTCATTCTATCCTGCAAAGTATGTGGAGGATTTTGAAACCTGCCAAAAATTAAATCCTTTAGAAGAATTTAAACGTAAAGAACAACCATGCAAGGGATGAATAACTGTGATGTGGCCATCCTCCAAAAGTTATATAGTAAATTTGAATTTTAAAAAATGACACGAGATTAGTACAACTGTATTGCATGTACTCAGGCATAAATGACATATAAACGGAAGTGCAAATGCCTACTATCTTATATAGAATATTCATGCAGCCTATTTTCACACACAATTTTTTAATCATTTGCTAATACAACCAAACCAATCTGTTCTTCTGTGCCTTTCAGAGAACTACAAGAAGATTGCTAAAGGGAAGCCTGATGCTTATAATAGTGTTTAAAATGATTTTCCAGCTTAACAGATAACAAAATTAAAGATCTTGAGTAATTCTTTTTTTAAATATGAAACTGGTTTTGGAGTAGCCTATAGTGTTACACTCTATGTCCATTAAGGTTGCAGAGACTTCCAAGAAAAATTAACTCAGTAGCTCAGCTTGCTAGGAAAGCGACAGGTTGGCTCTAATCCCGAGACCTGCGGTGGGCAGGTGGGTGTGGCGGCAGCGCGCTCTCCCGATTGGCTGCTCTCTGGGTGACCAGGTGCCAGAGTTCTAGGATTGAGGCTCATATGACCTCCAAGCTCCCGCTGCCAGGGCGGTAGCCAGGCGCCTCCACCAAACCTCAGCCAGGTTATTTGATCCCCTATAGCGTGTGGCCCCACGTTTTCCGGAATTGACTTTTCCCTTGTAACAGACTTAAAAAGCTTCAGGTTAAAAGAAGCTAAGCTTTTCATAAACGTTTAACAAACCAGTACACACGGCAGGACACTTGCTCCTGGTATAAGTAAAAAGTTAAATGGGCATACCTAACGAAACGACCAAAAAATCCAGAACTCCACACGTAGGGAAATTGTATCAATCAATCAATCTATCTACCTATCTATTATTTAGATAGTGGGCCTGCTATTTGCACACACTGGGCACTTTTCCTACCTTTCTGCATTTAGTCATTACAAAAACATCCCAAATTTAGTAATATTACGGTTGTACAGATGAAGGAAGATAAAGTGCAAGGAATATTAAATAGCAGTAACCACAAATCATAAAGTGTTTTCTTGGATGGTGATCCCGAGAAAGAAGGAACGTGTATTTGATGTGTTCTATTTTACTGTTGCTGTAATTCAAAGCAGAAACGTCTGGAAAGATGGTTTCCGTACATGCATGGTTCAGTACAGATTCTATTTTGTGGCTCTTTTGCTAAATTATGATGAAATGTCTGGGCTCTAAAAGAGCATCAGGCCCTAGCTTGTTTGGCTCAGTGGATAGAGCATTGGCCTGCGGACTGAAGGGTCCCTGGTCGATTCCAGTCAAGGGCACATGCCTGGGTTGCAGGCTCATGCCTGGGAGACATGCAAGAGGCAGCCAATCAATGATTCTCTCTCAACATTTATGTTTCTATCTCTCTCTTTTCCCTTTCTCCCTGAAATTAATAAAAATATATTTTTTAAAAATAAAATAAAAATAAAAGAGCATCAGTGCTTCTGAAGTGGATCTGGTGTCTATCATAAAAATTATATGTAATGAAAAAAAAAAGCATGGCTGGTACAAATAAAATTTGCCAATACAAAATCATAAATATAAAAAATATGTTCAGATCTACTGACTTTTAATTTTAAAAAACCAAGATGTTTACTAAACTTTGTCATGAAAGACTTTTCCACTGCTGCCCACCCATATCCCAGCCTGGAACTGTAGACAGGGAGGAGCGATGGCAGCATCTTCTGGACAGAGATGGGACGTGACCCTGAGGGGAGGATGAGAGCGAGGTCATAGCTCTGGGACCTGGTGCCTGAGGCTGCAGCTGTTCCTACGGGCAGTTCAGTGGAGATGCTGGTGTCGCAGACCTCGTCTTTGATTCCTTACCCAACAAAGCTACATTGAGGAAACACCAAGTAGCAGTTCAAGGAAAAATTAACCCAGACAGAATATCGTTCTCCATTGGTAACGTTAGCTGTCATAGTCTGGAAAAGTTAAATTACAAATAAATGATATATTTAGCCACTTTGTCACTGTCTCCTTCCTTCACCAAGTTTGAGTAAAGGGATCTGGGTTACTATCTTTGATTTGGAGGTGAAGGAATTGTGGGGTGTAAAGAGAATTTTTAAGGATTTTCGTTTTCTTGGTTTGGGAATATTCACCCCTTTCTTTCTTCCAAAAACAGAAGAAAATAAACAAAAAAGAGAAAGCGAGAGAAAGAAATACTTTAATATCAGCATTAAAAAATTGACTAAGTAAAGTTAAGAGAAATAAAAGATTTAAATAAAAAAGAGTGAATTTTTTTTAAATGTCAGTGTATTGCGATGGCCTGTACTAGAACAAGGTGTAATGGTGAGGGGGATACGTCAGAACATACCAGAGAGACAGATGCTGGCAGGGGGGCTGCACAGGCTGAGGGGGGAAGGAAGCAGGCCTTCCCTAGAAGACAGACAGCTCAGACAAGCTGAAAAAATGTCCCACAAATAACCCACTGGACTTATCAGCTATGTTTACTTATAAGTAGTTTCTTTCCCCTTTTCACACACACACACACACACACACACACACACAGACACACACACATACACACACTATGAGACCTAGGTGATGACTTGAATAGGCAATACCACGCATGGATGTTGCTGAGGGCTTCACATTTGGAGATAACCTCAGACAAATCATCGAAACCCGAGACTGACCAGGAGCTGAGCCTGACTCCAGCACAGATATGTTTGAAGTGCCCCCTGCTGACTTCCTGGTGACACTGTAACATCTCAAAAAAGCCATTTGAAGAGGCGGGAAACAATTGACTCGAGTAATCATTAAGCTCTTTTGTATTTTTATTGGAGTTTTTCCTGTTTGTTTTGTCAAGTTATATGTAACCATGAAGGAAGAAGTTATTGCTCTTCTCACCTCTGTGGTTACTTCCCACAGCCTCCAAAAGTTAGTAGGTTCTTAGTTAATAATTGTTGGGTGAATGAATATCACTGAGTAAAAGATGGTCCAGTGCTAAATGGGGAAGAAATAAGGGTATTTTTTATTTTAAATTTTCACTAGCTTTAGTCATTATGAAACTTGAATGTGTGTGTGTACACACATACACACACACACACACACACACTTGAATGTGTGTGTACACACACACACACACACACGCACACATCCTCCTTGCCATAATCTAGTATACTTAGACCAAATCTAACTGGTTAGGGAAATGGAGAACAATTTCACTTAACTTGGGCTTTTTGCTGGCCTCATATATTTCTCCTCTTCCTTTTAATTAGCTCTTTTGTTAAAAAATATACTCTTGCCCAAAATAAAACCATAATAGACAAAATTTCAAGCAGTACAAAAGTGTGTGCAACCAAACAAACGTCCTCTAGTGTCTCTCCAGAGCAACAAGTTTCCTTTCTTGTGTATTTCCTATAAAAGTCTATCACTTACAAGCATAAATGTGTATTCATCCACACATTTACAGTAATGTCAGCAGACCATTCGCACTGTTCTGCGATTTATCTTTTTCACCTAATAATGTG